CATTGTTCTTGAGCAAGCACTGCTTTCCAGAGGGGAAGGTTTGTGTGTGTGTGGTGGATAAAGGATTGGGAGAATTCCACTGGGCTTTGCAGCTGCTGCATCTCGAGATTTTACATGTGGTGGGAGCCCCACGTGCCTTGATTGGAATCTAGACTGCATGTATGCAGTGGCATAGCAAGGGTGGAGGGGCAGTTGCCCCCGGGCGCCATGCTAGAGGAGGGTGCCCATTTAGTCCCCCTCTGCTTCCCCTATCATCCCTTAGCTCACCTGCTCCTCCTCCCCCTGCTGCCACTGGCTGGAGCTTCCTCTCCGCCCCTAGCCCAACCCTTCTCCATCTCTGCTGGCAGGTTAGTGCATGTGGGGGCCCAGCCCCAAACTGAAAGGGGCAAGGGAAGAGGAGGTACAAGCTCCTCCCCCCGTGTTATGGTCAGCTGTGCGCCAGGTTTGGGGCCCCGCTGCACGGAGGTGGGCGGGAAGAGGCAGCAGGTACAAATTTTGCCTTTGTGTCCGGCGCGTAACACTATACCTCTGCATGTATGAAAACTGTTGTAGGTGACACATGAGTTGCAGTAGCTCAAGTCATGGAAACTTGAAAGAGGTTTTACAGGTCAGCATTTCAGTGTGATCGTTTTCTTGGCTCTAAAGATTCTGGAACATGACACGTGTTCTGAGAAGTTTTTAAATAAAGAAAATCTTAAACATTTCTGTTCCTAATAGGGTCCACTGAACATGCATCTTTCTCTCCCCTTTCCTCCTTTAAGATCCTTTAACCAGTGACCATTTTAAGGTTTGGGAAAGAAGGTGCTGCCGAAAGGGTGTAGAAATCAGACCACGGAGTTGTTTACTTTTCTGGGCCTATTGCTAGATGTTGTATTTTACTCTTTCAGTTTTTCTATTGGCTGGTGTGTTGCAAGTTTAGTATGGAATAATACTTCCTACTCTGCTATGCCTAATTCTGGCTCTTGTTATTTTATTTGTAGTGCAGTACTCCTCTGGTGTGCTGGATGCTATATGTACCTGTAGTAAAACACTGTCTGTACCTGTTCTGGAGTGCAGTATACACAAGTCAGATTTTGGGTCATTAGGGGGAGATGAAGTGGAATTAAGTGATTTGCTTACGGTCACACACAAATGGGAACTAAGCTCATATCTCCTGAGTCTTGGTCCAGTTTCTTATTCCCATGGACATGCTTCTTGCCTAGCTTTCATTCGTATACTTAAGTTTTACATAAGTATGTAGGAAAATGGTTGTTTAATTGGATCCCTGTAGTATTTTCCTCTACTACCCAACAAGAAAGTTGTCAAAAGCATTCTCTGCATCAAACAAAACAGAGTCTGGGACTATAAAAGCCCTCTGTGATTGTATGTTAGATTGTTATATTAGTCGGGGTGGCTGGTTAGCGTGGTATAAAAGGTACTTTTGCACTCAGCATGTGGCTGATAATCTAGGGCAGGGCTTTAACAAATGCCACAGCTGACTTTTTTTTTTATTCATGTTTGTCATCCCAGTTGGCTTGATAACATTTTAAGGATTCCATCTCTCAGAGATCCCTTGGAATTGCTTCTCCCAGTTGTAAGCAAACTGCAATGCCTGCTTTTGTACCCCAGTCACAGTCCTTTGATGAAATACAGTGGAAGAGATCTCCCTTGTCCTTATATTGGTAGTATTGAATTTTCATGGGGCAAAGCAGAGCTAATGAAAGTGGGGAAAATAACTTTGTGTCTTCCAGATGGTTAGGATCTAATTACCACAAACATTCAAAGTGTGTGGGGGGTAAGCACCAAAGGAAATGGCACCCACAAGGAAAAGTAACTGACAAAAGCTGTGTGTGTTGTTTCTGTTCAGAATAGGATGTAAAATCCCATTTAATTGGCTAACCGGTTAAACATATTTAACTTGTTAACCAGTTAAAGGTTAGCAGGGGGGCCGCTTGAGCACGGAGCAGCCCCTTCCTGTGGGGCACCCGGGTAAGCTGCAGGCAGGAGTTAGCCATTGTCTGTGGTGCACCCCCTGCGGGGCTGGAGCAGTCCCCTGCCTGCAGCAGACTGGGAACTGCTCCAGCCTCCACCAGTTAACCTTAACCTTAAAGGGTGAAACTTACTGGTTCAACCTCCATATTCCTAGTTCAAAAGTGGTGAAAGATGCAGTTATATCGCTTCAGGTGGCTAGAAAGTTTGACTAACCTAAACTCATCAAGGGCCTAACTTCATTTATCATCATGTTAGAACTAAAACAGTTCTTCTGCGAAGAGAAAATCTTCATTTCACAGAAATAGTCTGACTAAGCATCCCTATATTGTATTCAATTCCAGAACTTAAAAAGAAATTCTTGGATTATTTTTGCCTATAAAGTCATTCCTCCTCTCTCATCATGAAAGCTGAGAACAACAAGATAGGAGTGCAATTATTAGAACATTATTTGCATAAGTGAGAGACCCCATGGTCCAGTGTTTAGGATACTAGCCTAGGACTTGGAGACTTGCATTCAAGTCTTTGCTCTGCCCCAGACTTTCTCTGTCACTCTGGGCTTACTTACTAGCTTCTATGTACTTCAGTTGCCTATTTGTAAAATAAGAAGGCTAGTTCTTCCCTGTCTCCTTGGGTGCTGAGGATAAATGTAGACAGTGAATCTGAATTCAGATACAAGGGGATCTAATAAGCACTTTAGACAGAAAATCTTCCCAACCACCCTGCAATGTGAATAGATACCCCTATTACACAGATGGGGAAATGTAAGTACAGAAAGTTGGAAAGGATTCTCCCGATGCTAATGGCATATCGCAGGATTGATCTTTTATCCCTTAGATTGGGGAAAATCTGGATCACCATATCCATTTGAACAGACTCCAAAATCTTTTTTATTTACTTATTGTTTTTTTTAAATTATTTTATGTGGTGTCTGGGGTGGACTCAAAAAACAAATCACCTGTGCCTTAGATGTTCAGGTTTGTTTGGACAGTTACAGTAAAAATATGCCTTACAAAAACTAATTTATAAGGCCTCGTTAATTTGTTTCAGGATTGTCTTCCGAATCTATAAATAGCAATTTTTCCCTAAAGGTGGGTGGGGAAAAGGAAGAGTAGCTCTTCAGGCAGCATGTGGAAATAACCATGTGACTGCTTGCACTCAAGTGGTTTATGTCATGGATTAGCAGATAAACATGGTATTCTCTCTTAGAAATAAATAAGCCAAGTAATTACATTAGCAGGGAAGTCTATTGTCTCAGGTCCTGTGCCCTGCCAGTAAAGATTGTGTAGGCTGTAAATATTAAGATATGGTCAGATTGTGAATGAATAAGATGAAAACTCTTCAGTGAACTTTTTCCACAGCAAATAATTCTCTTGGGTTTGAATGCAACTGTGAGGGGGCAGGAAATAAGAGTCCCACTGCAATACTTATATATTTGAACAAAATCTTGTTGCATGGTGATTGTGAGCTGTCGTCTTGTACAGTATAAGCAGGAAAGTAAAGTGGTTAGAATTGCAGTAACAAAATTTTATTGAAAGACGTGTCAGTTTAAAATAAAATTTCCACTTGGCACTAAGGTTCCTTCTTTTTGGTTGACTCTAGAATATGTTGTTGCAGTTATGGTTGGCATGACAAAACCAGGAAGTATTTCTAACTCTTGGTTTAGCTTTATTTTTTTTAAAGTTATATTAGGAATGAATGTGAGTTGTAGGGAGTGGGGCATAGTTCTGGTGTCTGAGTGTGGAGCGTATAGTCCTGACAAGACTTGCCCTTTGCAAGTCACGTAGTCTCAATTTCTGAGAGTAATACACAGATAACACTTACCTACCTCCCAGGAGTGTCAGGCAACTTGGCGTTCAAAGTGCTAGGTAAGCGCTAAGTATTAATATCTGTCACAAGGGGAAATTAAAATAAAAGCCAAGTCGGGAAGGATTTATTACATTCTAGTTATGAACAAAGCACATTGGATACACCCAGCTGGGTCTATAAAGCCATAATCCCATTAATGGCTATTTAACCTTGCAAAATTCCTTTAGTGTAAGATATAAAAGGGTTTCCTGGTTATTTTATTTTGCTTTTTGTAAATCAAGGCTAGGTAGAAAGAGCCTTGAGAAGTCATTTAAAGGCCAAATGTGATCTATTTCAAGGATAAGCTGCATTGTTGTAAATTGTGCATATACTAGCAGTGGTTCCCAAACTTTTTGGCATCACGCCCCTTTTTTGATTTTTGAGAAACCCTCATGCCCCCCTCCCAAAAAATAGCAGCAAAACTTGGGGTGGGATTAATGGGGGTGTGTGGGGCTGGGTTGCCTTGTGCGCCCCCCCCCCACGGGAATTTCTTCATGCTCCCCCAGGGGGGTACGCCCCCCTGTTTGGGAACCCAGGCACTAGAGGTTGGTCCTCTTGCAGCAGCACCAGCGTGTGTGCTGTCCTTATGCAGACAAGACCTTAATCAAAACATGTTTACATTAGATTTTCTCCACTCTAAATGTCTTCTGAGGCACATCCCAAAAAGTGTGCACCACATGCACCTACAGTGCTTCCCATAACATAAGAATAGGGGGTCACAAAATGAAATTAATAGGAAGCAAGTTTAAAACAAACAAAAGGAAGTTTTTTTTTTTTTTTTTCATGTAGCGCACAGTTAACCTGTGGAACTCCTTCCCAGAGGATTTTGTGAAGACCAGGACTTTTAACAGGATTCAAGAAAGAACTAGATAAATTCATGGAGGTTGGATCCATCAGTGGCTATTAGCAAGGATAGGTAGGAATGGTGTCCCTACCCTCTGTTTATCAGAGGCTGGAAATGGATAACAGGAGAGGGATCACTTAATAATTTCCTGTTCTGTTCATTCCCTCTGTGACATCTGGCACTGGCCACTGTTGGAAGACAGGATACTGGGCTAGATGGACCTTTTTTCTGACCCAGTATGGCCGTTCTTATGACTGTGCAGAAGGTTAACAAGCAGATGCTTTCTCTCCCCTTCCCAGAATGGTGTCATTGACTACCCTTCATGTTGCTTTCATTTCAGCTTTGAAGTGTGCAGACTTGCCACTGCTATGGGTGACGCTACTGTAGACACAGCCGCTAGCACAGCTTTGGATCCATCATCCGGCCCAGGGCTGCAGGGAAATGGAGGGACTCCTCTCAGCGTCATCAGAGAAGGTGTTGGGGAGTTGGCGGTTATCGACCCTGAGGTGGCGAAGAAAGCCTGTGAGGAGGTTCTAGAGAAGGTCAAGCTGATGCATGGTGTCTCCTCAGACAGCGTAGCTAAATCAGATGATGGTAATGAAATGGAGAATGCTCCACGGACCAATGTGGGACTAGCCAATGGAGACGTCGGAGATGGCTGTGAAATCAAATGCTTGGACGATCCACCTGGCACACCTTCCAGAATTCAGGAGGAGGATGAGACCATGGCCAATACAGTGAAAAGTGCACGGAAGCGACAAAAGAACAACTCGGCTAAGCAGTCCTGGCTGCTCCGTCTCTTTGAATCCAAACTCTTTGATATCTCCATGGCCATTTCATACTTGTACAATTCAAAAGAACCAGGAGTACAAGCTTACATTGGAAATAGATTGTTTTGCTTTAGGAACGAGGATGTGGACTTCTACCTGCCACAGCTGCTAAACATGTACATCCATATGGATGAAGATGTTGGAGATGCGATCAAGCCCTACATTGTGCACCGTTGTCGGCAAAGCATCAACTTTTCCCTCCAGTGCGCCCTGCTCCTGGGTGCCTATTCCTCGGACATGCACATCTCAACTCAGCGACACTCCCGTGGGACCAAGCTGCGGAAGCTCATTCTCTCTGATGAATTGAAGCCAGCTCACAAAAAGAGGGAGCTGCCGTCTCTCACTTCAACGCCTGACATGGGGCTGTCACCTTCCAAAAGGACTCACCAGAGGTCCAAGTCGGACGCCACGGTTAGCATCAGCCTGAGCAGCAATTTGAAACGGACTGCCAGCAACCCCAAAGTCGAGAGTGAGGATGAGGTAATGTTGGAGACTCTTTAAAATGCTACCTTTCTGTGAAGGGTGTAACCACAGCAGTGTGTGCGCTTTTGGGCCTCCTCTCATAACTCTTTGCTAGAGATTTTTATATGAACAAGTGCAAATGGCGTACATTTCATTTACCGTTTTTTCCTCAAGCAAAGCAGCAATATGTGGTGTAGCCACAGCAGGAAAACTCAGCCCCCATTTGTGCAGGAAATCTTTAGTGTAATAAAATACTTTGCCTTTCTCTAATGCCCTTTATCTGAAGGTCCCTAAAGGTGCCTTTACAAAATAGGTGCATCTCATTCCCCTACTTTAATAATGGGGAAGCTAGGAGAGGAAGGATGACTGATTAGCTAAGGTAGTGAGCTGGTTAGCTAAGGTAGTGAGCTGAGATTGAGAAACTCTGAGTTTGGTTTCCAAGCCCTGCATTTCCTGTATGACCTGGGTAAGTCATGTAATCTTTATCTTGGTTTTGATGTTGGTACAGAGACAGCAAGGTTCTTGGAAAGATAAACTTCTTCTTGTTCGAGATATTCCAGTTGGGCCCGTATAAGTAGGTAGGTAGTTAAGTCACATAATTATTTAGTGCTAGTGTTACAAATAGGAGCCAGGCTCCTATTCCCCAGCTCTGAACCCTAGCTGGACTTCCTCCTATTACAGGCATGTCCTCTGTTAATTTATCAGATATATACAGGAATTCTTTGTGCCTGTTAGTTATAGCTACTATACATGGTCTCATGACCATCATATGAATGTCTTTCTCAGTGATCAGTCTCTTCTCTGATAAATTGGTTAATAAACGTAATCAGCGCATAATTAAAACACAGCTGGAGACTCATCTTTTGGTTACTTCATGTTTTTGTATTGAAATTGGTGTATTAGTGGCATACGTGCTCCTAGGTATCCTGGAAACTCATGTTGGGAGGACATTGGTGTGGAGTTGCAGCCTTGATGCAAAGCACAGAATGAATATTTCACGCATCTGCTGAACTTTCATTCCCCATCTCTGTCATTTGCGTCAAGGAAGGAGTTGAAGAGAGATTCAGAACACAGGCTTGTTAATATCCAGGATTGGTGGGAGTGCACTTGTAGCTGAGTACATCAGGCAGGAGAAGGAAAGGCACCCAATTTCAGAGTGCCTGCCCTTCATTCCGGTGAGGTATTAAAAAAATAATCCTGTGCAAAACAAAACTGCCTGTGTGCAGATAAACCCGGACATCTGCACCTGTTCTAATTCCCATTCACCGTCAAAAAGGGATGTCTGATGCAAGTAACCTGATGCTTTTGAGAAGATAGCCATGGCATTTTTATAGGGGTTGACTTTCTTGTTCCACAAATTGCCTATTGTAATGAGACCTCCTTTTTAATCGGTTCTTCTTTTCCTCCCACCATAAAGCAGAGAGAACCCAAACTGTTAAGCTGGAAGGGTTATGCTGTGTATGAGGTAATGCCAGATGGCAGTGTCTAGTGTTAATGCAATTTAATGTTAAATAGTATTAAACAAGGACTAAATCAAACTTGCATGCACATGTACATTTCCCTGTCATATTTTTTCCACTTCTGAATTAGGGATGTGAGTAGTCAAGTATTCGACTACTTGCTTCCCCCCACGTGCTGCCTCTGTCTGAGAGGCAGCAAGGAGGGGACGTGGAACCTGGCTCCTACTACCTTTAAACTGCCAAGCTGAAGCGGGGGTAGCTTCTGGACTGGTGCGAGCCTGGTCAGAGCACCAACCCTTATTGACTAATTGTGTAGTGTATACAAATTGTATCGACTACACGATCAGTCAGTTACCCACTTAACAATCTTAACCTGAATGGCTCGCACAGGCTGGGTGCCTAGCAGAGTGATGGTAGTTATTCTTAAGTGTAGAAAAGATATACATGTGGGCCAGGATTTCTTTTAGCCTTTGCTACCGTATTGTTATGTCTCTTTAGTGTGCTTTATCTGTTTTCCAGGTACTGTGTTCATTTCTGATGCTTTCACTGGAGCTACATTTCTTACAAAAGGAATCTAGACACTCCTGGCAGATAATCTTTCAGAATAAATGGATAAAGCTGTGTCCTTGGCTTTTGAGGGAGGGAAAGGATAGGAAAAAGCTGCTATGCTGCTTTATTACATTGCTTTCAAATGACCTGCATGTTTTTAACATATGTTCTTTGGGAAACCAAGGTAATGAGCACTGGTCGGATTTCCAGAGTTACAGTGTTGGTGGGTGAGAGGACAAGGAGGCCTGGTGTTAGAGTGCAGGTCTGTGAGCTGTGCTCAGCAAATTGGAAAAGCACTGCATCACTTCCTCAGCCTTAACTAAAGCAGCTGGAACACTCTCTTGGGGTAGTGAGTCATCGAACCAGAAGGGATGGTTCAGATGGCAGGGAATTAGGCTTGTTACACCTCTACATTACTCCACAGTGTGGCTGACTCAGCCCTTCATCTTTCCAAGAGAGATAAATTGAATTCCACACAGCTTACCAGATGTAGGTATGTTTGTCTGTTGTTCAGAGGAGACCTTGAAAACCAAGTTCTTCTTTGCTCTGTCTAGACACTGAAGTTCTTGTGGTTGTTTCTATAACAGCAGGGAGTTTAGCTGACATCCAGGGAGTTGAGCCCCATCCCCTCTGCTACACAGTCTGTTTTGCGAATGCCAAAGGGAGCTGCTTAATTCTTGTACGGCTAGAATTTGGGAGAGCTTTTTTTGTGATCCTTCAATAAAGGGACTCTACAGAACGATGGAGCATGCCTGCTGATGTAAGGGAGGAAGGGGGAAACTGCCCTGGAGCTTGGTAATTCTACAGGGCCCCGGGTTTGTGGCTGCTGCTGCTACTGCTGCACCATTGGCACCTGATGCCCTGGGCCCTTTAAATTGCTGTTGGAGCACTACAGTGAGCTCTGATCAGCTCTAAGGGCTATGGGTAGGTGCGCTGCACTCCGAATGGCACTGAAGGCTGTTGGGGGGGTTGGCATGGTGTGCTTGCTGCCTCGGTTTTGCCCCTTCAGGGATCATGGAGCCAGCCTCCTGCACCTTGCCCAGTGGCCTGGCATGGCTGTTGACTCCGCAGCCATGAAGTATTAATTATGTCAGTTGAACACAGCCTGTCCTGTTTTCCTAACTCTGCGAATTCGCATGTCATGAGGTAAGGGGAAGGCACCATATGGGTAGGGTGAGTGAATGTTTCATGTGCCTGACAGTTCACTGTTTGGTAGAAAACAGCTGGCTGACAGAAAGGAGGACACGTGGAAGTCTCCTTAGCGCATATTGGCTGCAGCTGCTCGCATAATGGAAACTGAAGCTTTCATCTATAATTTATGTAAAGCTGCACGAGAAGAGTTTCTCTTGGCAATGTTAAAAACATATTTTGGTCCAGAGGCCCACAAGCTTTTTAAATTCTGTATGTTCATGAAGGAGGCCTCGGCTCTCCAGGCACTTTAAAAACTTTCCCAACATCAGAGTATTCGAGAGGTTGGGTAAGATCCTCCATTTGCTGTTTAAATTCTTAGAAACGTTGTTGTCTTGGATTAAAACAGCTAACAAATGAACTATGAAAACAAACTCTCCTGCAGACTGTCAGTTGATTTTAGCAGGCTGCTTTTTAATGCTAAATATTTCTCAGTTACTCCCTCTCTGCGCTTGGGACAGTGTCAGTGCATGGGGTCTAAGGTGTTTGTAAGCTTTCCCCTCCCCCCATATTCATGCAGAACTCTCCCCTCTGGGAGCCAGGCTTGCTTTGATCAGGCTGCGTGGCTTGGGGTTCCCCCTGTGTGGCTAAAGCCCCGAGCCTGATCAAGGCAAGCTGTGGGTCATAGGTTACCCACCCTTGTGTTAGGAGAACTTTACCAGTAGTGAGTGCCTCAGAAGTGGAGACAGCAAAGTCTCCACCAATGACATGTCACTCTCTAATTCAGCCCTTGCTGAACTCATTTAACTTGATCATGAACCATAAGAAATTTTATCACTTCTGTAGCACTGTAATCTTAACACCTGGCTTTACAAACAGATGCAACATGTTTTCAATTTAAGTAAGGCAAATGCAGTACAGCAGTTCTGGAGAGGTTGGGTGTGGGGAATGAAGTGGAATGCTAGATTTTTGATTTAAGTTAAATCATTCAGTTAACTCTAATCCAGCCTAGGAGAATATTTAAACTAAAAACAATGGGAGGTGACTAACCTCAGCCTGTTGGAATCAGGAAGAACTGAAATGACTAATTAATGACTTTGTGATTCAAATATTAAGGGATGAATCTATAATTCAAAGATTATTGGTCTGCTATCCTTGTTTTATGGAGTCTAAAGTGAGACACACACTCATACTGCTTTTTGTTCACTCAGGCCTCTGTCAGTATTGGATTAAGCTAGTCCAGTATAAGCAGGTGTTAATACTATTTTATTTTGAATGCATTCCTTCCAGAGTATAATCTGATTGGATGTTTGTACAATCCGATCAGTTGCCAAGCAATCTAGCATGCTTCACAAATCTGGTTAGAGTGGGTTGAATGAGGGACTGGGGTAGAGAGCTCTGAGGCATAGTGCTACAACCCAATAGGTAAACAAGTATGTAGGATTTAGCTCCGTAATACTAGAGATAAGAGTTACCTTGATTTTTATGGTGAGACAATTGGGTTTCTTTAGGTCACTGTAATAAATCACCATTTCTGTCTGACTCAGGATGCTAAACCACTGCCCATTCCTCCTCCTCTTAAGTGCAAGTCTCTGCTCCCTAATAGCCTTCATCTGTAAGGAAGCCATGATATCTTGTGTGCATGTCAGATTAGGGCTCAGGGGCCTTGATGGAAAGAAGATGGGTCCTTTTGCTCCCTAGAATAATCAAGTGTCAGAATCAAGAAATTTTGAAATTAGATCTCTGTTCCCTCTGTCTTTCCCTGCACTCCATCGCCTCTCCTCCTCCCCCTCCCCCTAAAAAAATATTTTTAGAAGGTTTGATTCTTGAAAATATTTGGTTTTCTTAAATTATTCTTTGCACTAATATTGAGCAGTCATG